AGAAACATAAAATCTGTGCTGTTTTATGATGAGTTAAAAAGTACTTACTTGTCACAATCAGCTTGGTGCCTTGTCCGAATACCACAGTGATTCAGTTTGTACACATGGCTGTACAAAAACCTCCTGACTCTCACTAATGAGGGGAGTGGAACTGAAACATCCTGTTGAGACCAACTTTCACTGTCAACATCTCTTCACTTCATCAGTCTCATTATATTCCAAAACACTGCTGGACTTGTTTCAAACCACTCATTTGTCTTTATTGGATTTCATTCATTGTCTGTTCTTGTTTTGTTACATGTTTATATATTAAAGTTCTTTCATTTTGGTCAGAATTTATAAAATATGTGGTGACTCTCTCACTGAGGTTTTTGTCATGGTGTGAATCACTGTGATATGTACTCCTTGGCAGAGTTATCCCATGTTAGACAGTAATAGACAGCAGAGTCTTCTGTCTCTGTCCGCTTTATGATGAACTGGTAATCTATGTTTGATGAGGATTTAGAGTTGAATCGGTCTGAGGAGAATCCTGATCCATAGCTGTCTGGTGAACTGTGAGAATGGTGAAATCTCAGAACAAACTGAGGAGCTTCACCAGGAACCTGTTTATACCAGCTAACATACTGTCCATCATCTCTCTGAATGTTGCAGTTGAGAACAGCCTCTTGTCCTGTAGAAACTGTGTGGACAGCAGGCGTCTGGGTCAGCACTTTGGCTGCATCAACATCTGTCAACATACAGAGAAAAATACATGAGTCAAAGGTTTGTGTGTGAAAATATGGGCTATAAAAGGACTGAGAAGAATATCTTACATGTTAGAGCAGTGATGAGAGTGCAGAGGGTCCCCAGCATGTTGTCAGTGTGTGTTGTAAACGTCCCTTACTGTCCAGCTGAGAGGTGAGCAGGGTTGGAGTGTGAGGAGAAGAGAGACTGAAGCTTATAAAGACACTGAGGAGAGGAGAAGTGGAGGAGGAGGAGTTTCCCAGATTTCAACGTGATTGTCTGTTTGGTCTTTTGATTATAATAGTAGTATTTTATTTGTCACTTCCTGTTTATTGCTGTTTTGCATGTCTGCATTTGTCAACAAGATGTCTATTACTGATGTTGCTTGCTTATGAACAGTTTTCTGCTTCGTGTTGCTTGCACAGTTAAATGTACTAAATAGTGAAAATAATTGCTGTATTACTGTTTAAATATTTTCCTGTTTCCTGTTGATCTGCACAGTGTGAGCTCAGTGCTGGTTATGGAGGGCTTTATAAGTGAGGTGAATGACTTTGTATTGGATGCGTTGTGGGACAGGGAGCCAGTGGAGGTTTTGGAGGACAGGAGTGATGTGATCGCGGGTTCTGGAATGGATGAGCAGATGGGCAGCAGAGTTCTGGATGTGTTGGGGTTTGTTTAGAGGGTAGGATGGTGCACCATAAAGAATGCTGTTACAGTGGTCAATTCTGGATGTGACAAAGGCATGGATGAGAGTTTCGGCAGCAATGGGGGAGAGTGATGGGTGGATAGGTGGAAGAAGGTGGTACTGGTGATGTGATTGATGTGTTTTTCAAATGAGAGATTGTTGTCGAAAATGACTCAGAGGTTGCAGATGTGTGGAGAGGAATGCAGAGTGGAATTGTCAGTGGTGAGGCAGAAGTTGTGAGAGGTTTTGGTGAGGGATATGGGACCGATGATGATCATGTCTAATTTTTCACAGTTCAGTTTAAGAAAGTTTGCTTGCATCCAGGACTTGATGTCGTTGAGGCAGGTGGTCAGAGTGTCTGAGTTTCAGTGGTGATAGATGTAGTGGAGATGTAGAGCTGGACGTCATCACCGTAGTAGTGGAAGTTGAGACTATGGCTGCCAATGAGTTTGCCAAGGGAGAACATGTAAAGGATGAATAGGAGGGGA